TTGAAATCCAATTGATGGCCGTTATATCTGGAACTTGCGTCCGCGAGCGCTAGATATGAACGCCTTGCTTATTATATGTTTCTTAGCCTTGATCGCCGCATGATTTGTGGAATAGCATAATTTGAACGACGTTAATATGACGTCATGAATACCAAGATGACTTTGAAATACTCTCCCCGATATAGCCTTCCCCATTTTGCGGGCGCCTAGCCCAAAAACTAGATGGGCTCAGGTCGTAAAGAAAGGCAGGATTGTGAATAGCACCAAAAAGGCTTCAACATGGCTATAGTTCAAAACTCCACATAAATGTGTAACATTCCATTCATTGCAGTAATTAGATGATTTCCTCATCTGCAAGCCAACTTCTGCGACATGTTGACTTCCGCCCACACATTTGGCCTCAGCGCGCTCAGACACATATAAACGCCTACTGTTACCACATGTCCCGCGTCGGTAGACAGATGGTGAGCCACCGAGCCGTCGGTGTCACCGGTAACAACTTTTGAAAGCCCTGAATGTTCTCCACCGGCATGGCTTTCAAAAATCACCCGGTGAGGTGGTTCTCGACGCTTGCCACCTTCTGCCCAGACACATAGACGAACATGGTGTGCCGACCAATTTCTCCAACAGAAATTTGAACACGTCCTTCGCCGTCAGTACTTGCCCATCCTGGGCGCGCCTGGGGCTCTCGTGCTATGGCACGCTTAGCCGTGCCGCTGATGCCGACACAGGCCCCCTTACCATGTGACGTGGCAAAAAATGCTACTCACAGGGCACTCCGGAGTCAGCCTCATGGAAGTATACGTTGGTGAACTTGTACTGTTTTATATTGTGCGGCATTACCATCTGTAAATCTTTGATATACATGTATACATACACGGTTGTCCAATTTATGTATTGTCCAACCTAGATAGATAGATAGATAGATAGATAGATAGGTAGATTGATAGGTAGATAGATATAGATATAGATAGATAGATAGAGAGAGAGAGAGAGAGAGAGAGAGATATATATATATATATATATATATATATATATATTATATATAATATATGGCATAAATATAATATATGGTATATATTATATATATAGGATATAATAGTATATATATATATATATATATAGATATATATAGATTGGACACTTAGGTGCGGAGGTCTCGAACAAGTCGTAAAAACGGATGAACCATGACGGTGGTGTGCACTGTATAATGGAGATCAGACAATAGCTCTGATGGCACAGCACACCTTCCTCCCGCCAGTATGCTGCAAACAAGTGCACAGTGCACTTAGAGGAGTTCCGGTGGAAGTTTTGGTCTGCGTCTTGCACTACGAATGAAAAATTTTCAAAGAAGAGGCCCCGGGCAACCACTTCGCCAAAAGCTGTGCCCTTGGCAGATGCTTTTACGTGGGCAAAGTACTGGCTCAGCCTATCAGCTACAAAGTGGTGTCTGGTCAATTTTGCGATTTGCTGACTAAGAGATCTCCTGCTCATGCTGATCTCATACATGCCTTGCTCCGATAATTTCAGCTAGCACACAACGTTCCGTGCTCATCCACCGTTTGTACTGCATCTCACCATCTATATCCTCGTTAAGGGATGCACTAACCTCGTCGCTATCCTGACTTGTGCGAGAGAATATGACTCAAAAGCCGCTGATTTCCTCCTCAAAAGGACAGTTCTCACGACCACCCATCATGCGGTCACGGCTGTCCGTGTCACATACAGCATGATGTAGGAAGTCCCGGTGTTTCAGATCAGGAGGGATGAGAGCGGATATGAGAAGCATTGCATTTTGTCGATAAAGGCAAGCTGCCAAAATACTAACGCACGTACATCTCCATTCTCCTGCGTTTTCTTCGAAGAATAATGCTATTACTACTGTCTCATCTACGTGCATAATGTTTCTCGCAAATGCGCATAACAACTCAGGTATTAGATTTTGACGATATGTACTCGCTCGTACGCATACCACTGCTGCAAATATGCGAATGCGTACCACTGCTGCCGGCCAACACACAGTGCCTGAGGTGAAGCGCAGGTGCGCAAGCGTCGAGAAACCGATAGAAGGCTTATTCCCTGCTGGTAAGCGTCATACACTCCACGCCAGTTCCCTAAGACAAATATTTTTTGGTCTCAGTTCTTGGTTCCATAGGCTGTAGGACCGTGACGCAGTCGCCCTGGCCCGGACACATCCGGCTGACCTTCTCCGACCGGTAAAATAGGCTTGCCTTCTTCCTGCCCGCGTCAAAAATGTTAACACCTTTCCTTGTTTTGGGATCTCTGCCAGGAGACCATTAGACTCTTTTAGGTGGCAGTCTTCCTGACCATGAACACTGGACCACCCTTTGTTTTTGTCCTATCAGATGAGATGACAACCCGTTGCCTTCGTAGCCTCTTATGTTCGCGGGATGAGGAGTAGGATGGAAAAAAAGCTTTTTGGCCATCCGTTTGTGACTGGCGAAATGCTCATACATTCCGTCCCAATTCGTCTAAAGATGCAACTTGTGCGATATTTTTCATCATTAGCAGTGGCATCGACAGTCTGTCATGCCTGTCTCACTCCCTCCCCCCCCCCCCCCCCCTTCCCAATTCTGTGGCACTGCCATCATCACGCGGCCGGTCCCTTTGTGGAGATGAAAAACGGGATTGTTTCTATGTTTTACCTGACTAGACTTTTATTTGCTTATTTTTATCTAACCGCAGTGGAATTTCTGCTCACTTTTGACGGGAGCCGGGAACCCTCCCCTCTCCCCCCCCCCCCCACCCTCTCCTATTCCGACATTTTTGTACACCCGTATAACACAAAACAAACTGTCAAATGATGCATCTCCTCATCTAGTGGCATGCTCAACGAAAATGGCTTTGCTTCAGCAATATTACATCCCTTGCGCACATCACCAATGGGTGCACTTGGAACTACCGCAGAATCAGCCGCGCATGCCTGGTTTTGAACAAATATGAAAGGAAAGAATTTTAAAGAATTTTTTTTATTCTTGTCATGAAAAAATGCTTGTTCCTATTTCCCGAATTCAACAAAGTAGCATTGTGGATGTCCAAAAGGTAAAAACGGACCACGGGACCTTTGGCTACGCTGTCACGGTTTTGAAAATTTTGCGAAGAACAATCTGAAAGCGGCCAAAAGATGCACTCTCTCATTGCTAGTTCAACAATGCCTACCTTTGTACAATTTAGATAACTATTAATTGTCTCATAGGTTATCAAAAATATATTTTTTGGCTGACCTCTTCAAAACGCCCGCGGCCATAAAGCTCTTCGACTGTTGCTTTGGCCTGTTTCAAAAGTTCGCGGTTGAATTCAGGGCATAAGACAACCACCTAGAATAATTTTCGTCAGAGTATGCAGTATTGGGTGTAATGCCCGATTCGATTCGTCGTAGAATGCATCAGCTCTTTCGAGGCCAGATGCCAGATAACGTTGTGCACCAGAGGCAACTTGCAAGATAAAGTAATTTCGGTCACCTCGTTCACAGGCAAGGTTCTCCGCATCGGTTTTGCATTTTTATTCGGTCTCTTTTCTCCTGGACATGAAATCATAATATGCTGCATCGCAATTAAAGTATTTTGTGTATATGACGAACAGATGACCACCATGAGCCTGCATGGAAATTAAAGAACTTTTTTGATAAACACACAAACGTGGATAATTATACGCAGTCTTCCCTTTACTGTTGTTTAGATCTGTCTGGACCTTGAACATTTTGAAGTAAACAACGCGAGGCGCCGTAGAATTGCTCCGCATTACGCTGAAAAACAAGCTTCAATACACGGAAAGATACTGGTTAAACGAGAAGGCAAACAATCTTTGCAATGTGCTGCGAAAATTGATTAACAATACCTTTGGACACGATTATTTGCATAAAAACGGTGCTATTAATTTGCAAGGATGTGTTATATTGCTGTGTAGGGTGTAAAGGTGTATTTCATTGTGTAGTATATACTAATGTGTTTCGTTGTATGGCGTGTAAGAATGTATTTCATTGCATGGTGTTTGAAAGTATAGTTCACGTTCTTTACCGATGTTTATATCAGGTGCTTGGAAACGTTGACACCAATGAGATATACCCACATAATGTCAACTGGTGTTGGCAAACTAAATCGTGTACTCTTGCTGGCTTAACGAGAATTTCTGTATATAAGATAGTCAATGATGCATGCATGTGTATATGCGCTCTACGTGAACATGATATGATTCGAGGAGCAAATGCCTGGAAGCGTGTTGCCAATGCAGAGCCAGCATTGCTTGAAACATGTTTCAGCCCGCACCTATTGGTAAAGTACGCCTTGTTTATTTTCAGTATAACACTTTACCGTGGTGGCTTATGCTGAAATTAACCTTGCTGAATTTTGGCTGCAGTAATGCCAGAAAAAGTAAGAACTGTCCTTTCTTCCTTGCGTGGGCTCAGTGAACTGAAAGACCATTTGAACAAGACCACGAGATCCGTTGTAATAATATACTGGAGCGAGCGCGACCTGCGCTTCGATTCAAGCATGGCAATCGTGCTAAAGTCTTGTCATTTTATCTTCTCAATGCCTGTCACTTGACACCAATAGTACCAAGATTTGCCAGCATTTTGCTCTCGGGCAGAACAAATGTCACAGAATGCTTTGTTGTCATGCAATTTTGATCTGTTACTAGTACAAACATGATCGACGAACTGTAACCTATGACTAATACACCCCAAAGCATTTTTGTATAGTGCAGGAGGATGTCATATTTCCTCCCACGTATCGAAACTACTGGTATCGAGGATGATGTTGAACATTCAGATGATCGCACGTCGGGTGTGGAGGGAAGCAAAGACGATGGGACGTCAGGTGCAGAGGGAAGCAAAGACGTTGGGAAGGCCAGCGCAGACGACCCACACAATCCTACTTCAAAAAGTGCAATTGGAGAAAACACGGAGAAGATTGTTCAAGATACGCAGCAGTCGCAGTCAACTGTCACCACTTCAATGTCCAGGGGGTCACTACGTTTGCCACCCGTAAAGGTAAGAATCTCAATGTGCTTAGGCATTAATTCCACTGACTCCCACAAATTTTACGTAAAGCCTTTATGTCACTGCTATGGCCATCTGGCATTGCAGTTTTGCAGAATGTACGTCACGGTATTTTGCCTCGAACTGAAGATAAAATGCTTCGCATTTTTCACTTTTTTATAAGGAAAAATATTATATGCAGATCATGATTTTATTTTGCTACGGTGAATTTGGGGTGTTCCAGGACAAAACGTACAGCTGTATCCCAACTTAAACATTCTCATTTCTCAGAATTGTTTGAAACATGGTGCATCATCAAATTCGTCTGGATGTACCGGCTGTTTTATTTCGGTTTAAGCCCAGGCGCACCAGAGGTCAAGTTGTAGAGATCATAACCTTTTCGGAGCCAGTGAATGCGGCTAACTATCGTGTAATTTTATGCAGAAATTGTTTACGCCGCATGCGTATACTGATCTGGTGTTTAGCCGGGAGGAAAACCGTAGAAAAACACCAATTAGCAAACAATTCCAGGGATCTCAGCACCGCTTCAAACTCCAGGTATCGAAGTACGAAATCGGCGCCCGTAGGCCGGAAAATCTGCAGTTTAATCCTCTAGGCAGCTTGCTAGGCAGAAATCGGCAGGCACGGGAGAGGTCGACCTGTGCCGTCAGCGGTTCAGGGAGCTTGGATACATATCTGAGAACTGAGGATTTATGAGGCTTTGCTTGTCACGTTTGAAAAAAAAATGATAAGATGTCCGCCTGTCTTGCGAAAACTTGAGGCATAACGTTCATTTTAACTGTAACTACAACCACTACTGTAGCGTATGCGTCACGTTATTTTTAGTTACTGACCACCAAATATGACGTGTAAGCCAGAAATTTAGCCTAAAATGTAAATCTAGTATATGCCTAGTTTTGCATTGCAGTTTTTGCACTGAACTTCGTTTTACCCAGCATCTATCACTTTGCATTGACAAGATATGAGGCTATTTATGACACACTCGTCTCACCAAATACCGTGCTTACTATTTGTGTCGTTCGTTTTATTTCCATGCGGCATGAAGGTGTCGAGCGTGGTCGGCATTCTGTGTTCACCCGTACGTAAGACATTTTTAGTATAAATTCAGAATCAAGAAGCAGCTTTGTATTTAAAATCTAAGCCTCGTTCCTGGACACAGGCAAGCAAAGCCATCCTTCACTCAGGTATCTACTGCTGTGTTTGCAGTCCGAAATGCTATTATTGTAGTGTCCTTTGGACATTAAAAATGTTGTTCCTGATATTATTGGCATGACCCATGCTCAAGTGCGGGTTTGTCTATTTGTAGTGTATATACCAATATTTCCTGGTGAGGTTGTCAACTTGGCTGGTTAAAGTGTTTTGTGCCGTTAGGCTCTGGACGGCCCTTTTTTGTTTACAAAAGGCATGCCTCCATATTATGTTGAATGAAAAGTCATTATATGAATCCAGGTAAATTTACTTTGGAATTCTGATACTGGTTGTAGTTGTTTGGTTTTTTCAGGGTTTGGGTTGTTGGCTACTTTTGAAGATCTCTCTAAACGTCCAAGATAACTTTGTCCTGGAGAAAGAGTATCTTATACCTAAACCAAGGGCATTGCGTGTGTTGGTTCTTCAGCGGTCTCTTCAAAATGAGCCATAGTTTCAGATCTGGAAGCGAATGAAATGTAACAACTTCCTTAGCAGTTATCTCATTGGAAACAGGTAAAGCATGTTTCTAGGTTTATATAATCCGGTGATCTATAGTGGTGTAGAGTGATTCCTAGTGACCCTTTTATGGTGATACCATTAAGTTTGTGTACCTGGAATGCTAACCTAAGGTTTCTTGGTGTAAGGCATGACAAACATGCAAGTGAAAGGATAAATATGGTTGTAGTTTTCTAACAGCTTCTTGTTTTGGCACTAATAATGTTGCAAGGTTAAGTAGGTGTGCCTGGAATGAAAAATAAGGCTGGCGGGCCTATGCGGGCTTTTGGGTAAAACTTACCTCGGGGCGGAGCGGGTTTTCAAATTTGGGGACAGTTTCAGACATTCCAAATAGCAAAAATGGCAGCTCAAATGTGGATATGCTCGTTCACCCTTATATAACATTGAAATTTCCTGCCTTCTTCGACATTTTGGCATTGTTGCAAATGATTTTTCCTATCGCTGGTTGCATTGTACTGCGACCACAGTAAGTCTAAACCCACATGTGCAAACTATGTTTGAATTAGCTGCCGATGTAGGATATTGTAAATGGGAATAATAATACACTTGATATTAAGCAAAGCGTTACAGTCCAAAAACCATAAAATGCCCTTCTACTACATAGAGGGGCAGCACTGTCCCAATCTACCCTGTGCCACTTGCACCCGTTTTCGGTAATATCCCAGATCAGTTGCCAAAGCAGGATATACGGAGTTGGTGGATGAAAACGCATGTTTGGTACAGCGTCGAGATCGTGCAAATGACAAACTTCTTTCCCAAAATTGCAGTGCGCAGCATCGCCCTTGTGATGGATGCGTCCCTACAAAAGTTAAACTCTCCTGAAGTATCATAGCACTTTGTTATCCATGAACCATCTGCTCGAAATTTCCAAGTGTGGAGTTTTAGCAGTCGTCCCTTTATCTCTGAATGCGACCGTGACATGTCCTTCCTCTTGTGCCAGCCTGTGCAACATTTGTGCATTAACATTGAATAGATGCCCGGCAATAGGCAATCAGCTATCATGCAAGCAAGCATATACTGCTTTCAGTGTCAAAACCAACGTCCATGCATCGTGTCATGGCCCTCTTTACATCTTATTTACATCCGCCGGTGCTTATCTTTAGTTCTCGAGAGGCATGGTGAACAGAATTTATGACCTATCTGATGGCATAAAAGTTAAGTTCCATCGGCAAAACGATATTGTTAAAGGCAAAAGCATCTTGTTGCTTCATTTCGTTTAAAGTAAACAAAGTTTGGAGATGCGTTCGTTCCTTGCTGGATCCTGATTGTCTTGACCTAACAATAACAGACCCATATTGCAAATGACTTGCAGTTTTAGATATGAGACCAGAGTTGGAGAGAAACCTGGGAGGGCAAAAATGGGGGGGGGTCCCCATTCCCACGCCGAGATATACAACTTCAGGAAACGCATCAGTAATCACTTCGCGGTATGGCATGAGAAGCGTGAGGATCAGTTGCATTCTATTTAAGAAAAGGTAGGCAAACCAGCCCCTAGGCAAAAGCTGAAGTGGTGTATGACAATCAATATGCGACACGCGGCCAAAAACATGTGCATCGTAAACTAACTGTACCTCGTGATTACGGCCAAACACGGTATGATGATATCATATCGGCAGGTGCATGACTAAGATCTCACCCTACGTAGGTGGCAAACTCATAGCTACTTTGCACGACTCCTCGCGTTCTCAGCACGTGCCACTCTGCTTCAGGTGGCGCCGAGCCAAGTGACGCATCCAAGCATCAACGAGTTTGGGAGGAGCCAGCCCAACATCTCATCTTTTATGCTGAAGGAGCCCAAGAAAATAGATGAAAATGTACGCAAGTCTATATTCAAAACCGCCACTAAAGAACGAGCAGAAAAGAGATTTACGTGGGCCACCAACTTTGACTTTTCACTAGTATCCATGGCATGCGTTGTAGGTATCACCAATTTCGTCGTCTTCCCCCAAAAATGCAAGCAGCATGGTGGGATGGCTTTCTGTGTACCTTACGTGATCGTAGTCATATTCATGGGTCTTCCTTTGTACTTTCTGGAAACTTTGCTGGGCCAATACAGCGGCCATGGAACGATTGCTATAATGAATGAGCTAGTACCCGCTTTTGTCGGAATAGGATACGCACTCGTTGTCAATAACTTCGTGGAGTTTATGAGAAATGAGGTGGATAGTGCGAGATTACTCTACTTATCCATCGTTACCATGGAACCTACAATTCCATGGGCAATATGCTCCGCGAGCAACTCTGTTGCATGCTACACAAAAGCTGACGATCTCTACTGTATGGATAAGTTTGGAAACACCTCTGTGTTTTTCAATTTGACCTGCACTCCCATTTCAACCATATGCAAAACCCTCCACCACGTAAATTCTAGCGGTGAAAACTGCCAACAGAAAAACGGTTCATGGGTACCTTATAATAAGCTCATTCAGCGTTCGACACCTGAGCGCGAGTTTCTGTATCGCCACATTCTCAACATGGAGGATGCCACTCTGTCCCACTTGGGACCGGTTCACTGGCCAATGTTCTTCTGTCTGGCAGCTTGCTGGTTAATGACCTACTCGCTGGGTTACAACGGCTTCTCTACAACTGCCAAGAGCGCCTATCTTACGGTTTTCGCGCCATTATTTGGCCAGTTCTTGATCTTCCTGAAGGCTTTCTCTCTCGACGGAGCCGACGAGGGCATCCGAGCGTACCTTACATTCGACGCCACCTCACTCTCATCAAAACATGTGTGGATTGATGCCATCAAGACGTGCTTCAGCTCTCTGAGCCTGGGCCTGGGTCTGATCATCGCAATTGGCAGCGCCAATAAACCGTACAAGAACTGCTTGAAGACGACCGTTGTGGTCATTCTGCTCGACACCCTGGTCTCGTTGGCCAGTGGGCTGGGATTTTTTGCCCTGATTGGTCATTTGGCGCACACATTCCATATGACGGTAGAGGAGCTGCTGGCAGGGGAGACAGATGTCATGTTCACAACACTACCGTTGGCGCTGACGTCTCTGAACTTTCCCCGAATCTACGTGGTAGTATGCTACACATCTGCGACATTGGTCAGCTTTGGCTATCTGACAGCGGTGATTGCCATGACTACTTACGACGGCAAAGATATTTTCAATTCTTTTACCAACCGGCGCGGTGACCAGGAAAAGAAAGCGTCTAACCTGTTAATCTACCAGTATAACATCATTACCTGTACTGTTGGCTTCACTATTAGCATAATGTTCGTCGTTAAAGGCGGCTCATTGGTGCTAGAAGTGACAGATGTAGCACGTCACATCGACATGTCATTTATCATCGCCTCTTTGCAGGCCATCGTCATCTGCTTCTTTTATGGCAGTGGTAGCCTGCTCGATCTCGTGGAGGACGAGATGGGCATCACGTTGGGGCGGTTGCGCCCGTACTGGGCGCTGTCGTGGAACATTGTCGCGCCGGTCTTGCTACTTTGGGCCGCCTTTAGTTTTACGCATGCTGATGACGAACTCGAAGGAGATGGCTGGCGTGTTTTCGGGTCAGTGTTCGCGTTCTACCCGTTTCTTATCGTGCTCGGGTTTTTCGTAATCCAGATATATCACTATCGTAAAATCGGCATCTGGAGAGCACTGCAGCCAACCAGGAAGTGGTGTCTTGGGCTGGATACCGCTCTGCTCGTGGACGCCCAGGAGGCCGAGCCGGAGGTTTGGCAGCGTGAGACGGTGGTGTTGAAACCTCCGCCGTTGGTGAAGATGCCGCCTTCCATTGTCATATCCAGCGCAGAAAACAGCCTCCCCACCGACGCTCCGTCGATCACGGCGCCTCTGTCGACATCACCTTCCGCACTCCCCGAGGGCCCGCTTCAGCAGCGGCGGCGATCCAGGTCCATCTTCACCAGGCCCGCCGCGCTGGCTATTCTTGGCCACACGCTCCATGGCAACTCGTACGTGCCCTTCGAGCGTCAGATGGCGGAGGGAGAGAGGATACGGCGGGAGTCGGCGCGAATCTGAGGATAAGGATTGTGTTTGGAAACGCTGCTTGACGCTCGAGGCCTGTGGAAAGTGTCGTCGATGACTTCACGCTGAAGAGCTGCGAGTGATGTGCCACTTGCCACTATGCCTTTGGAAATGGATGCAAAGCATTGTAGTGTTGTGTGTTTAGCGGTAACTACACACAGTCATAAGAACGTTGGTGTTGTTGTGGGGTATCTAATAAACTGCATGTCCTGGTCTTGCACTCTTTTCCTTCAAATGGTCATTATAGGCTTTGAAAGAAGAAGACATCAGGGCGTTGGTGCTCACTAAACAGAACCTCCTGCGACGTCTTGGGTCACCTGATGATGATTGGTTAAGGCCTCATTCCTCCTCGTCCCGCCAGTGGTAGCCGATTCCGCCAGCTATATCACTAGTCGTTCATGCTGCTCTTTAAACGTGATAATATATGTCTCCAGGGAAGACAATTAAAAGCAACAGCTGTACGTTGAAGCCGTACCATTCTGACTGTTAGCGGGAAAGGGCCGCTGAGTTTCGAATGCTGATTAGTATATCCAGTGATCCATATTTATTGCGTGTCTCGTGCGGTCTTCATTGACGGGAGGTCACGGTTCTAGTGACGTGCCGGTAAATATCTCCCTTTCCTAGCGATGTCAATCTGGGCGTGTGTTGAAATAATGCGAGTGTCATCCACGCATTCGTCAATATTATATCTCTTATGTTATATAATCTTGAATCTATATAATCTACGAATCTTAGCAAAATAAAGGACTGAGCCGATAAAGGAACGTTTTGAGGTAAATGCGCAGTTGTGCTTTGTTCTCGTAACTCACACGTTACGTTTCCATTCTACGGGTATTCATCTTATGCCTAGCTATTTTGCGAATACCTGACTACAATACATTATCCTGTGATGGTGTGCTGATAAATTTGATTCGACGCACAGTGGTGCTGTCAAATATGGCAGCCTTTTCGCCCACAGTGTACGTAGCCGGCAAAATAGAACATCGCACGGGCCGTTTTATCAAGGTAAAAAAAAAACAAAACGTTGTAAAAGTGGCAATGGGCGTTTTCACGAGAGATTCAAGTCTCGGAAAATTTTACTTTTGCAGTGTTAAAAGAGAGAATTGCTTTTGTTGATTTGTTGTCATTACTTCAAGGGCGCGTAGCGTTGGTAATGTAATGAGCATGCTGCGCGTCTAGGAAATAAGGGGTGCAGTGTTGCATTCCTTGTGGTGACCTTCCCTCCTACCAGGGTGAGCGGTGAGCGTTACTATAAAGCATCAGCAACTGAGCGTGGCGTAAGTCCCCAATGACGTGAAATATCACGGCCCACGTGATGCGTTCTGATTTTAGAAGTTGCAGAATGTAAGTGGTGTGCGGAAAACATAAATTAGTTTTATGTGAATGCTTATTGAGAAAAGTCCTGTGAGTCAAGTCGTAACTCAGCTCAGAGTCAACTGCCTTATTTGGAAATGGTTCAAAAGTTACAAACTACCGCAAAACAGACAAACTAGCCCGTTCCTGGCGAGGGTGACAGATCTGTTTCTGCAGCGACAACCCTTAGCGCCAAAGCTGGGGGCGGTCCCGCGAGTTGAGCGGGTGATCTCGAGCAACAGAGGGCATGAGGGGGAAGGTAAGGAGAGGAGAAAATTAAGCGGTTGCATAGGTGACCGTGGAACTCTCAAGCACCAAATTGGTATATTTCATGGACCATAGTCATCTGCACCACTTTGGCTCTGCTTTCGAAATCGCGTGTACGACTGGTAGGTGTTGGACCCTGCCGCGGCCGGCTACATACACTGAGCTCTCGGGATCCACTGAGCTCAGGCCGCTAACTGAATCCGAGTTCGTTTTCCTTAACTTAATCCAAATTCGTTTTCTTTAACTGAATCCGAGTTCGTTAGCGGTTAGCGGTTAGGACCGGGCGTGCGTTACAGTTGTCGAAGACGGCGGACATGTGACATTGCGCCGGACGCAGAGAAACTCCACCGCCGGGCGAGTCACGCGGCGACGCAGTTTTCTGCGGGAGAGACGGGTCACGTGGACGATAAAACGCCTTCGTCCTTGAAGATGACAATGGAAGTTCTGAACATTAAAAGAAATGCAAACAGGGTGCATGCCTAATCCCTTAAAGCGTATGAACGCGGGCGGTGCGAACTTAGAGGGAATGTTTCACATTTGAAGACATTGAAGCAAGCGTCACATATGATGAAACAAACTCACTTGCAACTATTGGTTGTGAATGAAGTTTTTTTCTTTTTTAAGCGAAACAGCACAATTTTCTGTTTAGTAAACATGCTCTTCAATGCATCATGGTTTGATCACGTCATCGTGCTGTGCATAGCATTGATTGAGAGCTGAGTGACGGCCGTAATATCTGGAAACTGGGCTCGCCTACACCAGATATGAACGCCTCGAAAATTAGATATTTTTGGCTTGGATCGACGCATGACTTGTGGAAAGACATGACTTGAATTGCATTACCATTACAGCATGAATGCCAAGGTGACTTTGAAATACTCTCCCCGATACACCTTTCCCTTTTTTCGCGGACGTTTATCCCGAAAACTGGAGGGGCTCAGGTCTTAGGAAGGGTAAGGTTGCGAACAGCACCAACAGCTCAAGACAGCTCTTTCAGTTCAAACCCTCTATTAATGTGGAAGACTCTCTTTAACATTCTGGAAATGTTATATAAAACGAACTCACTTACTTCAAAAAGCCTCTATGTCACACGCCGTAGGGCCATAGAGTGATGCTTTGTTCAGTTTGCGTGATAAGTGCCTCATATTTCAAAATATTGTTTTTAAATAGAATCTTTTATGGCCTCATATAGTTTATTGCATAATTCATTTTGGCCGATTAGTGGTTTGCGACCATTACGTAACTCTCAATATAAAAAGCAAAGAAAATGAAAACCATTTATTTCATAATGGTGAGCAAGGGGTACAACGGCATGCCTTCCGCCGAAGCCGCGGCTTCAGACCGCAATTCTGGTCTATCCAGAAGGCCTCGCAGAAACCTCATGACTGCCTTAATCGGACGCGACCGGACTAGCTGTGCGTAAACAATACATAAAACCGTCATACTCGATTCAAGTAAGCGCCCAGTAAATTATGAAATGTGCACGTCACTTGTTGCGTGTCAACAGTGAAACATTGACGTCACGATTGTACATCAATGCTGCCCACGGTTTATCTACAGGCTGCGCTTTTAGCAATAGCTCCCAACGGAAGCTCGAACTGAAGTTGCCTTGGTGTTCTAGCATGGCTTTGACCTAGACTGACCTTGAGCGATCGGACAGGATCTTTATATTTGCACGTTTACCATTATGTATTAGGCATGCTGTCCTCACTGTTGACATGAAGGCAGCGCTTCAGTACATTCTCAGCATGCCCTACCGTTGATCTTAATAAGCTTGCCACCAAGCGCTTTTCACTTTAAAGCGAATGCTTTGCATTTGAAAATAATGAAGCAAGCAGTGGATGTGATGAAATAAGCTCAAATAACTATTGATAAAGTTTCGAGTGGGAAAGACTGCACTTTACAATCAAATTATATCCGGCATATCCGCTCCTCAACGCATCATTGTGTGACTGCATCATGGCACGTTTGTATGACAACACTTACGTGTAGGTCCTCAATCTCCCGAGAGATGACGGTGACGGTGCTAGATATTGGCTGAACCAATTTTTTTGTTGTTGCATATTTCTCTGTGAGTTTGAAATTATTGTTTGTATTCACACACTCGGTTATAGCGCTAGTTCTAAGTTATTTCATTGCCTGTCTTATTTCCATAAGTAAAAATGTTCAGACTTTTGTATCATGTAGCGCAACATGAAATTTATGTTAGAATCTTGCATTACCTGCATAGAATCTTGCATTGCTTGCACAGCGTTGGTTGAGAGCAAGTTAACGACCGTTTTGTCCAAAAATCGTGCTCACGAATGCCAGATATAAACGACTTGACCCTTATATTTTGTTTGACCTTGAACGCGGCACGTCCAGTGGAATGGCAGGATTTAAATCGCGTTATTAAGACGTCTTGGATGTCTTGGCAACCTTGAAATGGTGTGCACATTTTTGTGGGCGTGTAGCTCGGAAACCACGGGGTTTTAAGTCTTAAATGGAGAGTTCTATGTTTGGAGATAGCGTAAGCATCAGACGGGATGAAATTAGCTTATTTACAACTACTGGTATACTTTTAGGTGGAAATGACTACCCTAGACAAAATAACTTCCCCGTTTAGTAAATATACTTCTGAATGCGCCAATGCTTGATTACCCTATCTTATCCCGCACAACAACGATTGAGAGCCAATTGACGGCCGCTGTACATGGGAATCATGCTCCCGGACGCCAGATCTAAAGGATTGGACAGTTAGGTACATCTTTTTACCCCTGATCGCCACATGGCTAATGGAGTGACAGGATTTGAATGATGTTATTATAATGTCATGAATACCCGGTTGACCTAGGACATCTTCGTGGGCGTGTCACTTAGAAACCAGAGGGGTTCAGGTTCTAAGAAGAGCAGGGCTGTCAGCTACACCGAAGGATCTTCAAGATGGCTATTTCAGTTCAAAACCCCATACAAATGCGGAACACTCCCTTTAAGAAGGGCAGGGCTATGAGCCGCACTGAATGATCTTGAAGATGGTTTTTTTTTAGCACAAAACCTCATGAAAATGTGGAGCACTTCGTGTAAGTGCTAATAACTGCAAAGCTTGCGACTGGTTTTAAATTCATGTTTTACGACCAAGTGGAATGCGCATAAAAACAGAGCTATAGGCGTTTTTGCCGAAAAGTTATTTCCGAAAAAGCGGTGTAGTAGACAAAGTGCTCCCCTGCCCTTACCGGGCGCATGCTCAATGTCCCAAATTCAAATATTTAGGCAACCAATTGTTATGTTTCCAATTGAAACACCTCTACAAAGACACCTACCTGGTTTCTTCCCTTTCTTTTTCCTTTACCGGAAAGCAGTTTGAGAATCCTGTTTCTGGTACTAAAAGTCCCATG